ATATAAAACACTTATAATAAATCTAAAAATTATTAATCTTTTAAATATATTTATAATTTATTTTTAGAGTCGAAAATAGGGGGAAAAAATATGATGTTTTGTATGTAGGAGATGAGGGTATATTTATCTTGTGCTATTTCTCATATCATTTTGTGTTAGTAATACTTGACTGTTTTTCCTTAAAATAATCATGTTTTGTAATCATTGGTTAAAAGGTGACGTGTAAAGTGGGTGGGATAAATCTGTCCCATAAAGTAAAAGAGGCCCAAGTGTTTCTTACCTTAGTCTAAATTTTAACTATTCGTATTCTTATATTTCCACTGCGTGGAAGTGATTAATTGTTTGATTTCTGTATGTCATGACACACAACACCTGCAGTCTGGATTTTTTATTTCGGGTTTATGTGAAAAGGTGAAGTTTTTGGTACATAAAATTATATTAATCCATATGACTCTATGTACATTTTAAAGTACAAATTATCATATACCTATAACATGACTTTATTTATAACTATCATTTTTTATTTGATTATTTTTCAATTATGTTATAAATACCTATTATTTTTTATTAATATTATTTTGTATTAAATAATTAATATTTTTCGGGCTAATTTTTTATCAACATAATAATAATAATAATAATAATAATAATAATAATAATAAATATATATATATATATATATATATAGTTGCTGGCATAACATTTAATAAAACATATTTAATAAAACCTCTATAGTTTTTCTCGCCAAAAACCATTACAATTCACTTTATATACATATATATATAGGGTCACGCTCCGGTGAGAATGACCCTTAATGCGAGAAATAGGAATACATCACAATCATCGGATCAAACGATCTAATGGATACAAAAAATCCAGTATTTATTTATTCATTAAGGGTATTTTGGAAACTTTAATTATCAATTATGGAACACATTCCAACTAACACTCACCTACATCCAATAATATAATGACACGTGGCCCATACAACACACATCTCACTCACTCTTCTCTCTCACACACTAACACACACATTGACCATTAATTAAACACAAACGTGACACACACAGCACACACACAATAACACACACAGTTACACACACACCCCGACTCGACACACAAACACAACGCACACAGACCGCCGGCGAGAACACACACACTGTCGCCGCCGGCGGTCATACACACTGTCGCCGCCGGCGGTCACACACAGCACACGCGGTTGGCCACTATATTCACCACCGCCTCCGCCGCGCCATCGTTGCACTGCGCCTTACCGCCGCCGCCGCCGCCGCATCTACTGTAATCCCATCCAATTTTGCGGGCGGTCTCAGTTCATATCCGGCGACATCCACCAGCGTCCAACCTTCGATTTCTCTCAAGACAAACCTCCGTCGCTGCCCCTACTCATCTCTAGCGACCTCTATCGCCGGTCGTTGTGAGGAGCCATGGTTGGTGTAGGTGGAAATCATCGAGCGACGCCATCACCGGACGCTCCGCCGCCTCCTGGAGCTCGAAACTCGCCGTCGCCGGTGTAGGAGGAGTAGATCCGGCGATTTCAAATGCTGAAATTGAAAGGGGGGTTGGGATATTTTTTGGAGAATTAGATGATGTATAGGGACTTGTGTGCAATTTTAATAATTCTAGTTATATTTCAATTTAACCCATGAGTCAAAATGTAAATGTTGAAAGTTAATAAAAAGTTATTTTGTTACATATTGTGTTATACATATGTATTTAAATAATAAATAAAAAAAAGATAATATATTAAAATAATATAAAATATCTTGTAATAATAGAAAAGTATTAAATAAAAATGATGTAAGATATTAAAATAATATACAATAAGTTGTAAGAATAAATAAATCATATAATAAAAATAATAAATAACTATTTTAGTTATTTAGATTAATTCAATGTACAATTATACACATAATTTATCTAGGAATATATAAATTAGCTAGTGCTATATATATATATATATATATATATATATATATATATAGTAATGTCGCACTTTATAAAATAATATTTTACACTTTATAGAATAATATGTTGCACTTTATCACATGACGTACTAATAAACACAAGCATGCTAAGGTACCAAATATCAATATGTTGCACTTTATACAATAATATTTTGTACTTTAGAACACAACATGTTGCATCGTATAAAATAACACGATGCACATACAAAAAATTAAGTAATATAATCAATCGAATAATATTAGTTGGTTAATTGTCGAGTTTATTTCATTTAAATAAATAAAATAACTGAACATGTCAAATTATATGAAAAATATTATAATTTTATTTATTTATTTTTTTATAAAAAAATTACTATATTTTATATATATTTTTGTATGCATTACGAGTGCACATTATAGTTATATGAATTGCACATAAATGCCTACCGGATTGCACAAAATCGAACGAGACCCAACTAACATGAATTCGGCACAAATTTTATTATGTTGATTCGATTATTGTCATTATTTTTTATATATTAATTATTTAGGTGATAAATTTTGTAATTTTTTAAATTCAAGCGTGTTTATAAACACGCACATTGTACCTTTTATTTATCATTGTCGTGCAATGAACTAGACTGTAAAGTGCAATGAATTGAACAATAATGTGCGATGAGTTGAACATTAATGTGCAATGCTTTGAACAATAATGTACAATTATTAAATATTTAATAAATTACATATTTAGTACATAAATTAAATTGTAATATATCACAAACTTCTAAAATTGCACTTAAGTCCTTGAGACCTATCAAATTCTCAAAAGTTGGCCCAAATTATAAACCTAATTTCTGGTTTCAATTAAGACCATAACAGACCCAAATCCCCAAATTCATGAAAAATCTTCTCGCCACTAAAGCACCGCCGCCGCCGGCGGAGGCGCGGGGAGGAAAATGGAGCGGAGGAGCTCTGATGGCTGCGAGCTCATGAATGTGTTGGAAGCCACGATTTGTCCGCCGAATCTCAGGCTATTGACGTCGGAGGAGAGAACCGCCGTCTGGTTTATCGATTTGGCAAGTCAATGGCGGCAGATTTCATGTTGGCAGCGCCGGATTTGACCATCGGGAAGATGTGCCAGTGGTCGTCGACGCCAACCGGTGGACGGTGCGCCTGGTGGTATGGCGGTGGTGTGATGGAGACCGGTGGTTGCGTCTAGTGGTCCGGCGGTGGACTTTAATGTCGAGGCACGAGGCGGCGGCGCACTGGTGGTCCGGCGGTGGCTGTGATGTCGAGGGACAAGGTGGTGCGGTGTGTGTTTGTGTGTGTGTGTGGGGTGGGTGAAAGATAATGAGGGATGGGGTAGGTGACGATGGGTTGGTGGGGGTTAGGTTTAATATGAGTGGTGGTGGGTCCTACATGTTAGTGGGTTTGAATCAAATGTCTAATTTACTCTTAATTTGTGGTCAAATGTCTATATTTGACCACGAATTGTACACTTATTTACAAAACTGCCACAGTATATTTGACTGTATAATTAATATTTGACTAGATCCTGACCATTAATTTGATGGATCCAATGATCTAGAATTATTCTTATTTCTTTCATTATGACTCATTCTCATATGATCCAATTTTTAGGGATTGGTTCAAATGCATCTACTTATTTAAAGTGTGGACGTGAGACTCATTCCTAGCCACAAGATTTGGTACATCGTGTGTGGCCAAGACTTACTTTTTTTTTTTATTATTTTAATTATTTAAATATTATTTTGACCCGTTGACTCCGGCGTTGACCGTTGACTTCCGGCGTTGACCGTTGACTTCCAGCGAAAATCGTTTACTTCCGGCGTTGACCGTTGACAACTAACCTTCCAACTAGGTTAGTTCTCTGTAGTTGTTAGGTTAGTTTACTGTAGTTGCTATATTAGTTGTATGTAGTTGCTAGATTAGTTCTCTGTAGTTGCTAGGTTAGTTCTCTGTAGTTGATAGGTTAGTAGTTGCTAGGTTAGTTGTATGTAGTTGCTAGGATAGTTCTCTGTAGTTGCTAGGTTAGTTCTCTGTAGTTGCTAAGTTAGTTCTCTTTAATTGCTAGGTTACTAGTTGCTAGGTTAGTTCTCTGTAGTTGCTAGGTTAGTTCGCTATAGTTGCTAAGTTAGTAGTTGCTAGGTTAGTTTTCTGTAGTTGCTAGGTTAGTTCTCTGTAGTTGCTAGGTTAGTTCTCACTAGTTGCTAAGTTAGTTCTCTGTAGTTGGTAGGTTAGTTTTCTGTAGTTGCTAGGTTAGTAGTAGCTAGGTTAGTTATCTGTAGTTGCAAGGTTAGTTGTCTGTAGTTGCTAGGTTAGTTGTCTGTAGTTGCTAAGAGCTGAGCGCATTTTAAGAGCTGGACGCATTTGATTCGCCCCCTATATGTATATATATATATTATTAACAAAAATTTAATAAAATTATTTGTTGTTTTTTTGTTACAATTCATTATTATTATTATTATTATTATTACATTAATTCAGCCTATCCTATTAATGATAAAATATTTTCTTGCATTTTTTTGGGTTAATTAAGATAAAAATCATTATATTTTATATTAATTAAGTAATAAATATATTTTTTTTATATCATATTATATTTATTATTTAATTATATTTCACACTAAATGATCTATGAAAGTTAAATTATATTTCCTCCTATTTTTATTATTTGTCATTCTAATTTAATTGATCATTTGTTAAATAAATGTCGTTTTGGCTATTTTATACATATTTTTCCATTAGTACACTCATCTAACTAATAAATACACTACGTCTTTTCATATTCACTCTCCATCTTTTATCAAAACATCAATCTCCATACTCATTAATGAGAGTTATTATTGGTAAAAAAAAATATTCTTAATTATTGTGCAATTTCTCAAAATAACATTTATTAAAAATAAGAGGAAATAATATTTTATTTATATCTGTACAAATACACGTCATGGAATACTACTACTAATAATAATCCAGTCGCATAAAATACAGACAAGTCCAAAAGTCAAAAAGGTGAGATGTTCGGTTTTATCCCTTTTTCACGAGAAACGCGAAGCGGCCACGGAGACTGTTTTCTTACTTTGTTGAAATAAAGGAAGCAAAGCATGAGAAAAACTTCTCCATTTCGCCGTAAATCGGCTAAAGAGTAAAGAGTTTACCACCGTCTGTATCTTTCATTCTTACTCATAGTTGCAACCAGATAATAATTGCTTCCTTCTCACTCTCACCCTTTTGCTCCACGTGCTAAACCCTGAAATTGCGTCGTTTGAGTGCCCTTTTTAGTGAGAGAAAATTCTACAGAAAACGAGAGAGAGAGAGAGGATGGAAAGAAAGGTGATTGCAGTGTGCTGCGTTGTGGGCTTTCTGGGTTTGCTCTCTGCTGCGACGGGCTTTGCTGCTGAAGCTAAGAGGATTAAGGTACGTAAAGATTAGAGCTGTATCTGGACTTTCATTGAGTGTTTATTATTCAATTAATCTGATTTTTCTGCTTTTCTACATCTACCTTTGCGTACAGATTATGTGTAGATTGAAGAATTTTTTTTGATCTAATCTTCTGGTTTCATATATTTGTTTTTTTATTGGTAAAGTTCTTCTTTTTATTTTTTGGGTCTATTAGGTTTTGAGAGTAAAATAGGTGCATTTGGCTCAAGTATTTTATATCCTCTTTGGACGGAGCAATTTTGGGTTATGCTTCTTTCTGAAAGCCGTCAGTTAGACTAAATTGAAGCAGCTAAGTTATTTGGCTTAGTATAGAATTAAATTCTTCTGCTAGTGTGATGAATGAAAATTTCTCACCTTTCTTGTTTGCTTATATTATATTTGTGATTCTATGGTTTTCATCTGGTTTTACGATGATATGGATATCGTTTTTATATGATAAAAATTGCACTGCTATGCTCTTTGTGATAGTAAATACCCATTTTCCAGAATATTTGAACATTACTCTGTATGATTAGTTAGACTTGTGGTCAGTGATGTTACGCTAATGGGCCATTTGTCGGGAGGTCTACCTATAAGCCAATCAGTAAATAGTCCTTGTGTGTATTAGTTGCCTTATTTGAGTGTAGTCATGATTCTGATTTTCAAATACGCCAGGTGTAGCTAAGATTAGGCAAGTGTTGGAGCTTTTGTGGGTCAGTGACGACTATGAAATTCTGTTATAGAAATAGTGAAATACAATCAACTACAAGCACTGACAAGAAAACCACTTCTGCTTTTATAAACTTTAACTGAAGCCAAAAGGCTTAAGTTGCAATGGCAGCTTACCCATTTCACTTCTGCATTATTGTCCATGGCATTTTCCTCTAAAGCGAAAAATTGTACTTCATAATCTCTAAATCAGGATTGCTCGCTCTCATTTATCTAAGCATGGCATTTTCAGTCCAAAATTTAATCATAGTGCAGAATGATATTCTCATTACTTACTGGAGTTTTTCTTCTGGCATCTGAAAACTAAGTTAAGTGGGATGTAGTTTCCCAATAAAATAATTATTGAGACTGGCATAATTATGAAATCTTTCATCATGTTAATAGTTGTGATTATCAAGGTCTATCGTTTTAACAAATAATCTGGATTATTTCTGCCAGTCGCCATTTCCTTATTCCTCCTTTTTTTTTACTTTTCAATTGTTTGTCTTCACACACAAATTTCATGTTCTTTAGGAGCCTTGACAATTGGGAAATAATTGTCGTTTTGTGTTCTCAAGGTGAGTTAGTTGCCCATTTATCATAAGCCGACCTTGAAGAAATGTGGCTATGTGAGTGAAAATGAAGGTAGTTAATAGGAAAAGAGAGGGGATATCCCTTTTTCAATGAAAGGTCTTTTAGGCATAGTGTGGTTGCTAAGTGCCAAAATGACACCCATGTTGAACATGACAAATTATATTATTACTAAATCTTTTGACTGTTAATTCTGTACTCTGCAATGGGGTGTGTTTTCATTAATCATCATCATCATCATCATCATTAAAATATTATTATTATTATTATTATTATTATTATTATTATTATTATTATTATTATTATTATATGCATTTTTTGAGGTGAGTTAATTTGACGACTTACTCGTTATATGCAGGGAGATGAAGTGAAATTTACGTCGCCATCTGAATGTGTATATCCAGGGAGTCCTGCACTAGGCCTTGGATTAACTGCTGCTGTTGCCCTCATGATTGCTCAAATTATCATAAATGTCGCAACTGGATGCATATGTTGTAGGAAAGGCCCACATCAATCGAGCTCTAGCTGGACCTTAGCCCTTATCTGCTTTGTCGTTTCATGGTAAAATTCTCAATTATTACCTTCATTTTCCCATTTGTACACGGTGCAGCTCTTTTGACTCAACAAGTCACGTACTCAACTCCAATTGATTATAAAACATTAAGATGAAACACATTAATTAGATCTTGAGAAGGAAATTTTTATTCATGAAGTAATTTTGTTTTTCTTTTTTTTTTCTTTTGGGACTAATTACATAAACTCATGGAAGTATACTAAAAAGGAAGTGTACAAATATATTCCATATTTTGCAGGTTCACATTTGTTGTGGCTTTCCTGCTGTTGCTAACTGGTGCTGCTCTGAATGACCAACACGGAGAAGAGAATTTCTACTTGGGCTATTATTATTGCTATGTCGTGAAACCGGGCGTTTTTGCTGGGGCTGCTGTGTTGTCGCTAGCCAGTGTCTTTCTCGGGATTGTATATTATCTCATTCTGACGGCAGCTAAGAACAATGACAGCTCGTGGGGCCCGCCAGCTCAGGGTGGGATAGCGATGGGGCAGCCACAGTATCCTCCTCCTCCTCAGTCGCAGGGGCCGATGTTTGTGCACGAAGACACTTACATGAGGCGGCAGTCTATTATGTGAAGGGATGAGGGTTAAAAATGTCAATATAGAAAGAACTGCTGTTTGGGGGTTAGCTTGTTGGTGGATGATATGATATACATACATCATAACTCTGTCTAATCTTTGTTTCTCAGGGCTTTGTTATACATTTCTTGGTTTTTTCTTTTTTCTTTGGGAAAGCTGTATTTTGTTATGGTAAAAGCATTGTTTTGAAACCTAGACCGGTGACCCGGAGTGTAGCCCTGTCAAATCACCGATCAAGGTTTTTAAACTATGAGTGGAAGTTTGGTGTTTAAATTCTGCAATATATTTTTGAGAAATTGAAGTGGAAAATTTTTGGTGTGCTTTGCTAAAGTAAAAGTAAACAAATAGAAAGCCCAAAATATTGCAACTTACATGGGTGTATTGGTTTAAAATTTCTAAAGACTAGTCAAGGTTTTAGAAATTTTGGTGTAGTTAATTTAGGAGGTGTATTTATTTGGAATTTCTTAAGGTTTTAAAAAATTTGATGTATTTATAATTTAGAGTTATTAAAACTTTTATAAGGTTTGAAGTATTTATTTAAGATTTTAAAAAGTCTATTCAAGTCATGTGGTATTTAATTTTTTTTGGCATGGAAATTTGTTAAGATTTTTTTAGATTTACTGATATTTCAAAAAGTAAAACCATACACAAAATCTCATTCAAAATTTCACCTCCACACATAATATTTCTAAGGATTCCTACTAAATATGACAATATTAAAGAATCTCAAATCTCAGAAAATCTTAAATTTCACTCAAAATCCGAAAGGACTTTATGTATTCATTTATGATTTCTGAAAAGTCTCAAGAAATCTTATGATATTTGGCTTAGTTAACAGTGAAATTTGTTATGATTTTTAAAAGATTTGGTGGGATTTTAAAAATAAATTACCGAATTCCACCATCAAATCTCACCTTTATACCTAAAATTTATAAAGATTTCACTAAAATACACAAATCTTAAAAACATATTAGATTTTAAAAAGTTTTGAAATGTCACTCAAAATCTCAAATAAAGACATCATCCCAAATAAATACATCCTCCCATATCTGCATTTCTACGCATGAAAAACGGATGGTGCA